GCCTGGGTGTACATTCATAAGAACATCGGAAGAGCCAAGCTAAGAGATCACCTCGTCCAGCAGTCCCTTCACACACAGGCCAGGCAGCTGCCTGTGGAACCCCACGAGTTGGTCGTCAGCATAATGACACTTTGCTGCTTTGTGTTCCTCAGTAGCAGCCATATTGCAACTGAGCCAGGAGGGAGCATACAGCCATCCAGAGGCATTGCAGCTGATAACTTGAATTTGTCTAGTCCACTTTAAAGCTATCCAAATGGGTGGCTGTTGTTTGCCGTGTTTGTAGCTTTCCCAGGATATTTTCCACGCAGCGATGACTTGCGTCCTTTCAGCAAGATGGCTTTTTTGTCAGTCTGCAGATTTATGAGGCAATGATAACATTTTAGTTCTAAGTATCATTTTGCTCGGGCTTTGTACTGAATAAATGCCATTTTCTGAGTTGTTTTTAATATTTAGTTTTGGGGGGGTTTGGCATGACAGATACTTAGAAAAGACCATCCGGTCAGCTGTCGAACAACATCTTTTTGACGTCCATGGCTCTGGTGGTCAAAGTTCTGAAGACTCCGAATCTGGAACATCTTCAGCATCTTCCAGTGTGTCTGCCCGACAGCGGAGACGGCATCACAAGGAACAGGATGACGCCCGAAGGAACAGAGATATGTACGATGGTGATTCCCTCCTCCCTTTTAGAAATCTGCCACAGCAGTTTTTAGATAGTTTGAATGACAGGGGTTCATTCAGTGAGGCCAACAGGAAAATGGGTGAGCTCTGGAGCAAATATTTGACTTATGTATTAAGGATGTAAATAATCGTTGGGTGCCTTTCTGGTGAAGTCTGCTAAGGGCGGACCCTGGGTGCAGACATTAACAGCACAAGTAAAATGAAAATTATGCCAGTACAATGAAAACACAACAGTATTTTGAAACAAGGCTCCTAGAAACCCCATCTCAGATTAGCAATGACGAACAGAGTTACAGGAGAGAGTAATTCTGTATTCGCAGGAGGAATCTGTATTTTTAAACTGGGCAAGAACCTTAGAAGAGCCATCTTGGATCATATCAGGGTCACAACAGCTGGGATTGATTGGCTTAGAAAACAGGCAGGTAAGGGGAGAAATGAGAGGGGTTTACAAAATCACGCATGATATGGAGAAATGGAGGGGATATCTTTCTCCCTTCCTTCTGGTCGTCCCATGAACCTGCTGGTGGGAGATTCAGGACAGATAAAAGGTCCTTTTTCACTATTGAATTTACGTGTGGGAGTGGTCACCAATGACATGACTTTAAAGGGAGTTTGGACAAATTCAGGGAGGGGAAGTCTCCATGGCTATTAGTCCTGATGGCTCTATGCTACCTCAGGTATCAGAGACCATATGCCTATGCATGCCAGCAGTTGGGGATTATGGGTGGGAGGATGCTGTTGCGGTTATGCCCTACCTGTGAGCTTTCTCTCAGCAGCTGTTAACCCATGGTGTGAAGGTGTGGCGACCTTGCTACACAAGGAGGACCCTTGGTCTGACCCAGCAGGGCTCTTGTGTTGTTATGTTCTTGTCTATTTTAGTGGATAAATCAACCTTGAAATATGTTGCATTCTTCCTTCCCTTCTTAAAAGATCCCTTTGAGTCTGGCCAAAGAGTCCGTCAGGTCCGTCCAGTACTTTCTACACCAGCCTTCCTACCCAGGTGTCCTGCAGAGCTGTTGGACTACATCTTTCAGCATCCCCCACTCCCAGGCAACTGGCCATGGCTCTTGGAAGTCTCGGTAGAGGTGTCTTACATTGCTTGCTGCCTCACCATGCGAGACACTATGGACTGTATGCAAAGCAAGGCCTGCCTGTATACATACGCAATGTGGCATTTGCCAGTCCATCAGTTTCTGTTCTGGCTCTTCAGCGTTTGTGGATCTTGGTCTTTGTGCCTTATCCTCTCTTATCCTTCTGCTGACAGACCTTAAGCAGAACCTATAAAGTGGGACCATAAGGGGACACTCGGATTGAGAAAGGGTGGATGGCATTAATACACGTGCGGTCTAGCTACAGAATGAGTTCATCACATTAAATAAACTTATCAAAGTGGGCGATCTGATGGCCTGACATAGATCTCCGATACATCCGCTTGTTCAGTTGGGTGGGGTTTTTTTCTTGAGCAACAAAATATAGAACAATCTTGTGGCTTCCGGCAGTTGTGCTGGTAGTCAGGTTTTGCTGCTTTGAATCTTGTAATATCTTTCATTGCTGTTACTAGGTAAGCAGCCTTGTATATGCATGGCCCATAAAACCAAGCCCTTGTGGGAAATGGTTTGATCTTTTCACAATGGCGCCTGTACTTGACCTGAATATTTGGCGCTCCTTTCAATTTCATTTCTGTTGAGCCAAAGTGAAATCTCAAGGGATCAGATTCCAGCTGACATAGCAAGTTCCATTCTCCTTGTTGTTTTGAGTGTGTCCTAGCCTTACTTTTCAGCATTCCAGCCTTCATTCCTTGGTGTAGCATTTTATGTCTTTTGCCTCAGGCAGGGCAGAAGTTCAAGTTCTAAAAAGAAAACAAAGAAATGTCTAGGATGTTCCATTTCAGACTGCTGAGTGAAGTAGCCCAAAAACACACATGCAAGTCACTGAGGAAACCACTCCACCTTCTATTTACCAGAAGTCCTTTGTTTTATGTGCCATTGTGTCATCTCCAACTTACAGCAATCCTATGGAATGAAGGGCCTCCAAAACATCCTGTCCTTGACACCCCAGCTCAGCTCTTGCACACTTAAGGGTGAGGCTTCCTCTATGGAGTCAGTCCATTTCTTACTTGGTCTTCCCTTTCTTCTTCTGCCTTCAACTTTTCCTAGCATGACCGTCTTCTCTGGGGAGTCCTGTCTTCTCAAGTCCTGGCTTGATTTGATCTTCAACCCACTTGTTCATCAGTCTAGGATATTTGCAAAGCTCTCTTCAAGCACCATGTATCGATCATGTCACTTTTTTTCTGCCAGCTTTTGTCACTGTCCAGTTTTGTCACTCGTATATAGTGATTGGGAATACAGTAGTGCGGATGATCTTGGCCATGGTCTCCAGTGAAATGACCTTACATTTCTTATCTTTTCTAGTTCCTTCACTGATGCCCTTGCAAGTCTCAGTCTTTCTTTTAACTGCTTGGCTGCTGAATCTGATAGCAGATGACTCAGTGCTCTACGGTAGCCAAGACTTGCTAATTGATAAGGGGCATTGACTGAGCCACATCCTGGAGCTTGAAGCTTCTAGAGGGCCATTTGCCGTGTTACAAATTCCTTACATAAACATGTCATGGTAGGGACATTGTGTGTACAGTGTGAAACTCATATGTATCCTAAACCCGTCTCTCAGATTTTCAGGCACAGGTTCTTCACAGCACTGTCTCATACTGTAATTGACTGCAGCTTCTGGCGGTCTGTGATGCTACGTTTGCGTGCAAGAGAAAAATGTACCTGCAGGACATTCAGGCAAAGCATTTTGCATGCTAACACTTCCTTCTTGGTGCAAATGTTTGCTCCTGAGAAGTTGAAGAGGGACAGAGCCTGGCACAGTGGTAGTTCAGGCATAGCAAGTTGAAAAATTCAGCATGAGGCACACGTAAAAGTACTAAGGGTAAGGGCACTTACCAGGCCAAACAGTCTGTGTGGATACGCACCTTGTGTTTAGAGGCCCAAATTCCTGCCTTTCTTGTGCATAAACCCCCCTTCCTTCCTTTTCAGAATTAGCCATCATACTAATGTTAGCTATCAACTGCCAATTACACTATCCATAGTCAACTCGATCCTCTAAAGGCTGCAGCCTCACCAACTGTGTTTAGAAACCGTGCTTCATTAGCATACACATTGGTGTAGACCTAATGCACCATGCTTAGGCAGTAAGTTACACAAGGACAAGGGAGAGGGAAGGATTAACTTGCAAGAGGAAGGCATGGAGGGCACTTAATCTCCTAACCAATGAGAAGGTTACTTCTGCTAAATCATGTCATTCCAAGTTTTGCCCTGTGTGGACATCAGGTCAGGTCGTCAACAGTCAGTCTTTAGATCAAGGAAGCAGGAAAACCTGTGGACATGGAGGGAAGGGATTTCGTGATCCAGTCACTCGGCCTGTAGTCCTTACTGTCTTGAATGCCACACTGGGTCATTTTTTTCAGCTTTTCTGCTACCCCATTCCCAAATAAATTTGGGACTAAAACAGCATGGTTATCCTAACTTCTCAGACATTCATTATGAATGAATGTAATTTTAATTACATATGTAATTAAATTTAATTGCATATGTAGTTTTTATAGTGCATTAAAAACAAAAGTAAAGTAATTAAAGGGGAAAAAGGATAAAGCAAAAGAAAATGTTACACATGTTGATACGATTGTACAAGCTGTGTAAGAATAACTGCATGTATTATGTATCCCTGTGTGTTAGTATGTATCAGAACGTGCTGCCATTATTGAAAATAATTATGCACAAAGGTCAAGAAAAGCAGCCAAATAGCCGTACGGTTCTCCATTTCTAGTATATGACTAAGGACCACCTGTTCAAAAATGGAAAGATTCATTCAACCCTCCACCCATTGTGTTATGTCAGATGGTGTTGGAATATTGGCCATTTAGCTGTCAAAAGGGCGTGGAAAATCCATTTGTATTGACCTTGCATTAGCTTGCAAGAGATGAGTAGGTAATGCAAAAGAACTTGTGTATCCTTAAATATTTCTCATCACAAGACTTACACACATCATTACCTCCTCCCAGAAGGAAGTTGCTGTTGGACATAGTTTGGCAGAAATATATGCCAGAATACCTCCTTGTAAATTCACTTCCCAGTGGATGAAAAACTAATTCACTTTTAATTGCTAACATGCACAAAACATTTTGTCCTATGAAGAACTAATTCAGAGGCATAACCTGTAAATGGATCCACAGTTTTCATGCCTTGAGGAGGTGGGGGGTTGCTTTAAGCAATTAATAACCAAGAGGATTTTTGCCTAAGATTTTAATGAATATTGTCATTGAATCAGGTTTGTGATTCAAACACATGCTATCTGATTCCTTAACAGCTTATATTTTAAGGTAGTAATCCATGCAAATTAGAAACAGGCTTGAGAGAGGAAAATCCAGTAAAGCAGGCCAAAGTAATACAAATCTGCATACTTGGTATACACTTGTTTCAATAAAGCCAAGTTTTTTTTTAAAGAGATGGGCATTCCTCCAGATAGTGAGGTTGTTTATTAAGTGAGCCCAGCATATGCTGTGTTTGTTTCCAATGGATTTAACTTCTTTTGCTATTTTTATGGCAGGTATATGTGCTCTTCTCATTAATTCAAGGTCTTCCCACAGGAAAATTAAATCACATCCTGCCATCTCTATCATAATCATCATTTTATTTACTTATTTATTTACTCAACTTATATTCTGCTATAAAAGTCCAAGACTCATCATCATTATCATCGTCAGTATTACTGTTTTAATTTGTACCTTTTCTGCAGAACTCCAGGTTATCTCACATTCAGGCACCAACCACAATTAACCCTCCTTAGCTTTGTTAGGTTTTTACACCCTATCTCACTATGCTAATCTACAGGTAGCCTTTCAAGCTTTATTGAAGTCAATACCCATGGGTAGGCTCAATACCCCCATTAACCAAAGTGTACAGAAGCCCAGAGTCTAAATATTTCTTGTTCTAGAACTGTGTATGATCAGGTCATCTCCTTGGTTTGCTTTCAGAAACTTGCTGAAACAACCATCTGTAATCCTGCAACTTCTTTTATGTAGGGAGGTCATCAATAAAGAGAATATTCCTTCTGGCTTCAACAGCATTGAAGAATGTATGCTGAATGCTCAAGAGGTTGAAAAACTGCAAGAGAACAGCTCTGGATATATCGGAGAAAGAAGTAAGCCAAAGCGACAGAAATCAAGCACCAAACTGACTGAGCTTAATGACAACCAGGACAATCCTCTGGTAAGCAGATGCTCCCTTCTTCAGGTGTCATGGTGAAATTTGAGAGACAATGTACTTAAACACCTTGCTCATAGCGTTGTTCACTCTTTACATGACTCTGATGCCTGCTTGTGATGAATGACTTCTCTGAGTCACAGGCCACAAGCAAATGACCGCATCGTTTTGTTGAGTTGGGTGGATCATTAAGAGCTTCCCCACAGTTTGAGGCTTTCATGTGGCAAGTATCAGCTGCCCCTCGAGCAAGTGAGGAGCAGGGTGTCCTGGCGTGACAGGCCGCCGCCACGGCCATCTACCCACCATGCAGTTCTGGGACCAGATCTTTGCTGCTGAAAATGGCAGGATGGGCAGAGTAAACCACCTTTTGCTACAGCGTCAAAGCCAGAAATTCTGTACCACACGCACTACGTGGAGAGTGTAGCTCTGCTCAGGCTGCTTGTGCATTCGGCATAGTCATGCACACGTGGTTGCAGGTCCAGCCAACATAGAACTGAACTGCACACTGCAACCCGGAGATGCCACACTGTGTGTGCGGGTTGAGCGCACTGACCAGCTGCAATTTGTCTTTCTTGACGGCTGCTACGCCCTCCCAAGTGTGGCAGAAGCGATCATTCTTCTGTTCTGCCTTGTCAGTTTGTAGGTGGAACTATTGTTTGCTCCCTTCTTTTTAAAGCTCTTTTTAAATGGCTGGAGACTTTTCATTGTCAGCAGGTCCTTCCATGTTTTGGGGCAGTGGATAGTGGCCGAAAGAAAGGCGCATAGGATGGGGAAAAGAAACCACTTGCTCAGTGCCTTGGGCATGTGGAAAAGGTGTGGCTGAATCGTCCTTCATAAGACTGATGAGACCATGCTGTGCACAAGTATTTTGCCTTTACAGGGGACTGAGTCCCTATTTTTACTGCTTAAGAAAGCAGAATTGCTTGAGTTGGAAATGTGATAAATGCAGTATCTGCCATACTTGATTTGATGATCGTATAGATTGCCTGGGCACATGATGGCCGATAACAGCGTGGGAGAAGAGGCCAGAGGTGAGATTGGAAGACCAGCATAAGTTCTCCACAGTTTGTCACATCTTCACTACAGTTTGCTAGAAATGCTTTTTTAACCTTCACAGCAGAGCATGACTGTAGTGGTGAAGTGGGAGCATTGCTAACGCAAGACCAGTTTTTTCCTTCAACAAATTTGGGCATTCGTTATGCCTTTTTTCCTATAAAAGCCTTCCCCAACTAAGTGCCTTTCTCATGATTTGCATCACATCCCTCCAAATTCCCCACTGTTGGTCATGCTGTCTAGGAGAGCCGAAGCCCAAAGCATCTGGAGAACAATAGTTGTGTAAGTCTCTCCTATGGAAACAACCTTGACTCCTTGGATATGCATGCATGTAGCATAAGGTCCATAGGAGGACCTTAGATTATAAGGTCCATGGAGGTCCATAGATTATTCATTTTAGTTTAGCCAGAGAGTTAACATTTGGGAGGCAGTTTCTTCCAGATTTTTTGTTGGTTCCAAAGTTGCCCTCGCTATCACCCTTGGGGCATACATTTGCGAAGGAGTTACTGCTCTTCCACTGCTCAAATCTTGAAATCTTAACTTGTTAAACTTAACAGAATGCTCAGATTTCCTCAGTCAGACCTCTGGAATAATGAGCAAAAGAAGGCAAGGGGATGAGTGTTTCCAGCCCAGGTTACCAGCCTAGAACTCGAGCAATGATGCAGCTTGTGAACATTTCAGGCATCACTACCTGGTAGTTTAAGGAAGAGAATTCACACTCACCTGAGGCCTAGAATAGCACACGGGTTTCTAGAGAAGGATGAAGAGCAGGATGCAGGAGGATACCTTTCTCTAGCTGATGTTCCCTAGAAGTGCTACACTGCAACCCCCATCATTCCCAGCCAGCATGACCAATGGCGATTGGGATAAACAGCCGGTCCCCCAAGAGACTGAGGAGGAAGGTGTCTGTAGAGAGAAGGTGTTGCAACGAGGCCCGCGGAGCATGGAATCTTGGGAAAGGAAAGGCTCTCATGTCAGGACTGTGGCTTTGTGCTCACTCAGGCTGGTTTCTATCTGATTTCGTATTTGCCTGTCCATTAACTCCTGTTGGAGAAACTGCCTTCCTCCCATGAGAGAGTGAGGGTGTAGCACATGGTCGCAAGTTGCACAACATCGTCTCAACCCAGGATCCCTGCAGTATATGATCTTCCCTCTGCCTTTCACAATCTTCAGTATTTTGCTGTTTTTCTCATGCAGCATTCCTATTGCTGTCATAACTGCATGAGAGGTCAGTACAGATCCTGTGCTTGTGATTTCAGGTATGCATTTTGAAAACGATGATTCTTACTGTTTGTCTTAATATTGTTTTGATAGACAATGGAAACACTTGGTTCCTTGAGACCTGTGGACAAAACAGGACCAGACAACATGGAAGTGTTTCCTGAAGACAGGTGACTTGCTTAGAAATCATTCTTGGCCAAGTTTTCAAATTAATCCCAATACTAAAGAATCTGATTACTGACCTTTTAGAGCCAGTTTCATTAGCCAGTTTCAAAATGTATTGCACTCATCCCTGTCATAGATGAGTTTTTCTTTAGTGCATGGATTTTTAAATTATGTGAAGAACTTTGTAAAGTTTTTTAGAAGATTTTGCCTTTGCCTTGTTAAGCATATGTAAATTGTAGGCTGATCTCTTACAGTTTATATGTTTGTTTTAAGCATTGTTATACTAGTCTTAAGCCCACAAGGCTCCCAAAACAACTTTCAAATGCCAGCAGTCCTTATCCTCAGACTTTCAGTGGAGAATGCCTGGCACACAAAGGAAAGGGCATGGAGACTGGGGAGGAGAAAAGCAGGCTTATGCACTTATTAAAATTTCCATTCTTATTAAAAAGAAATAAATAGCATCCGTCCGGGATGGAATCAGTTCAGGTAGCCTGATCGGATTGACTACTGCAGAATGATGGTTGAGGGGAAGCTAACAACAGCTTTTCTCTCAGTCCCACTTCTCTTCTTCCCCTCCACTTTGTAGCTGGATGGAGTATCCACCATAAGAGGCAGCTGGCCTGTAGTACAGCCAGCAGCCTAGTCCTGCTTCCTTTCTCTTCCTCTGCTCTGCATCCAAATGGAATAGTTTTCAGATGAATCTCCAAAGGGGAGGCTAAAATGCATCCATTGGGGACATTGGGAGCTGCTGTATAATGTGTCTGACCATTGGTCCATCTAGCCCAGTATTGTTGACTCTGACTGGCAGCAGCTCTCCAAGGTTTCAGGAGGCGCTTTTCTAGCCCTTCTTGAAGATACCATGGATTGAACTTGGGACCGTCCACATGCAAAGCGGCTGCTGTGCTACTGAGCTATGCCTCCTCTCCATGCTCAGCTATTAAATCCTGACCATCAAGATATTATCTTCAGATATGTTTTTAAGAATGTGGCTTTATCTCTAGTGGCAGCATGATTGCATAAAATAATAAATATGTTGTTTCTTTTATGACATGCTTTTAATCCAAACCTCCTCTTCTTTTCTGTAGGAAAGATAGTGAAGGCGATGGCGATTCCATAAGCCATGCTCAGGTTAGTATCAATTTGTTTGTTTTAACTGTCAGACCAAAAAAGTAACAGAAATGAATCAGGGGATTTCATATAATTAATAGATTATATCCAAATACATTAAAAGGAATGTAAGCATTCTGCTGTACAGAATTTTGTGGAGCAAATTTACTGTCTTTTAGATGCCCAGTTAAAATGTTTTTATTCCCTTTAGTTTTAGATAAATGATGTGTTTCTTCCAGGGTTTTTTTCTCCTTCTTGTCTGTTCAATTTTAAAGAGATGTGTAAGATGTTTAGTTACTACCTTTGATTTTCTTTAAAAATGTGAATTCATTTTAATATTTGTAATAAGGTGCCTTGAGCACTGTCTTAAACAAAACAGAAAAACAGCCACTGATCTGGGCTTGGAATAATCCCGTAGGTAACACTGTAGTTGAATGGCTAGATGGATGTACTTGGATCCTAAGAAACCTGGGGCCACATTTTTGCTCTCAGCTAGGGTTGGGGTATTTGTTTCCGTCAAGGCGTACATTTCCCTAGAAGTAATCTATTGGGGTAGCATACCAAAGTCAGGGATGCCACCCCCTTTGATTTCATTTCTGTACTCCCCATTAGGCAACACTGTCTGGGATTTTCAGGAATTAAAACCTTTAAAATACTACATTATTGTTACATTACACATATATCCCACCTTTCTTCTCCTTACAAGGAACTCAAGGCGACTTGCACAGTTCTTCTCTCTATTTGTCCTCGCAGCCCCTCTGTGAGGTAGGTTAGGCCAAGAATCTGTAACTGGCCCAAAGTGAGCTTCATGGCTAGTATCAGGAGCTCAGCCCTCCCTTTCTTGCCCTTAAGCTGCAAATAGAAACAGAGCGAGTCAGAAGGGGCCTCCCAGGCCATCCAGTCTGACCCCCGGCTCGACTCCACTCACGACATGCCCACCATGAACATGTCCAGCCTATCCTTGAACACCCTCACCGATGGGGCCTCAACCAACCCCCGTGGATTCATTCTGTTGATGAACCATGGTGCACGTCTCTGTCAGCAGGAGCAGGGGGCACTGTTTACATTTTCCACAATGCCCCAGGGTAACACTAGGGGGTGGAGGGCATGGTGGGAAATAAAACTGGTGACTAGATCCAGCCACCTGGTGCTACTTGGAGTGCCAGGCCACAAAAGATACAAAGAGCAAGGAGACCAAGCTGGTGCTATTGTTGGGTCCTGCCCAGGTAGGGACAAGGCCTTCCAGCTGCTCAAGGGTTCCAGTTTTATTTATACATTTATAGCACACTTTTTTTCCTTACAACAAACTCAAAGCAGCTTACATTCTCCTGCTGCTCTCAATCATATCCCTACAACAACAGTGAGATAGGCTGGGCTGAGAATCTGTGACTGACCCACAGTCACCCAATTGCTTCCATGGCCAGATCACCTGAATCTCAGCCTTGCATTCTTAACCACTCCAACACACTGGCTCTCAGTTGCTGATGCTGATCCTCTTTGGGACTTGTTTCCAAATCACTGGTTTTGTTCTTTGGATGCTTCAGGTGTTTGGGTGAGGGGGGATTAATAAATGGCATTGGTTCAGGAAAAAACCTTGAGGAAAAAGGAAAAGGGTGCTCTTTGTGTAAAAGGATATGTCAAATGGTGATGGTAATATTGGCTTCAGGTCCCTCTGATCCCGATCTGCTAAAAATAACAGTGCGTCGCATGTCGAACATTGCAGGCTGTTCAAAGGACTCCGCGTGCATTATCACTGTGATCTTCACGGCAACTGTCAGGGACAGGGCTGGGCCCCTTCTTGCCGTTCAGGGACTAATCCCCCCACCGCTGTTGAGGAGGGGTGCACCTTTCCTGCCTCCTCCAGAATTGCTTCAGTGTCACTGCCAAACACATGGCAGAATCAGCAGAACAGAAACAGCGATGAGAGCCACGCACAGGCTGTGTGTCGCTTCCCACTGCTCTAGGCACTCCCCGTTGAGCTCAGTTTGCACAGGTGCCCCCGAGTCTGAGACCGTCTGGCCCCGGGTCACTTGATCAGCTCTTGGCAGAAGGGAGATTTGAACTGCCGGCTTTGTGGTTCTGAGTCACGTGGACCCAACGCCACCAAGCTTAGCAGCGGGGCCAGTGTCATGGACTCATCAAATCATGAAATGGAAGGGCTGGAAGGGGCCAAGAAGGCCATCAGGTCTAACCTCCTCATGGTGCAGGATGCCAGTTACAGCATGCCACTCAGATGGCTGTCTTGTTTCTTCCCGCGTGTCTTGAGTGTGGGAGAGCCCACGGCCTCTCTTGGCAACTGGTTCCGCTGTCGCTTTGCTCTGATGGTTGGGAAGTTCTTCCTTGTGTCTAGCCTGCACCTGGTGTACGGTAGTGTAAGTTCCTTGTTCTGCATCCTGCACTTTGCGCTGAGTGAGTGGAAGCCTTTTCCTCATCCTTTGTGATGGCCTCTGAGGTTGTCATCTCACCTCATAAGTCTTCTTTGCTCACAGCTGAACAGGCCCAGTTCTTTCGGCCTCTTGATGCAAGACTTAGTTTCCTGGCCCTGTATCATCTTTGTTGCCCTCCTCTGAACTGTCTGCAGATTTTCAGCCTCACTTTTGAACCTGGATGTCAAGGGCAGGTATAGCTACGCATGTGCAAAAGGGTCCACATCCCAGCAAGGAGCCGTGTCCTTTCTCCTCCTTTTGGCCATTGTAGGCTCCTCCTTTGCCCGCATCTCGCTCTGGCTCAGAGAACGGTGGCAGGGACAAGAAAAGCAAGCAGATGCCCGGCTTGCTTTGCTCACTGACTGGTGAGCGGCCAACAAGCAAACTTTCCCCATCTTAAGAAAGGGGAGAAGGAGCCATAGCAGCTGATAACAATGGCATTGAGAAAATAGGCTCAGTTCCCAGGCTCAAGGGCCCTTGGAAATCTATCTACAGCAGTTTAGCAGTCTGGCTTGGGACTGGAATTTACGTATCAAGCAGCTAGTCAAGGATATCACACAGTTCACGATTAGCTGGCTGCAGCAGGTGAACAACGTATGTTCATTGATTTGCATTTGTGAAATAACTGATTTCTTCTTTTATATATCTCATCCTAGTAAATGTTTTCTCCTCCCCCAGCTACACTTGTTTCTCCAAAGGTAAATTTGTCCCTTCACTTTGCGTTTTAGGGATTAGGGCAGCCCTACAATTAGAACGAGAACTCGTTGTTCCCTGTCAGTTCCATTTTTCTTGCTTTTTGTGACTGAATCTTTCTTACAGCCTTTACAGAAGCTGCCTTTAACATATCGCTCCCCAGAAAGCAAAGGAACTTGGCTGTTTTCTGTGTGGATAGAGATAGGTATACTTTAAGTTTCCATTCTTCTCCTAGGAAAATGGCACATTTGATTTTAAGTATAACTGGGTGTCCTCTCTGCTAGAAAGAACAAATTAAAATTCTGGCTCAATATAACCTAAAGTCTTTATAGATTATATTTAGATTTTTATAAATCATGCAAATTTGGTATAGTTTATTTTACTGTCACAAACTCTAGCAACAGCCCTCTACCCTCTATTCTTCTGGACTTGGCAGCTTTGCCAAGCTTCCCCACACACTGTCAAGCATATCATCACACTGTGGACTAGAAACTTGCTTCATTAAAAATAAAGCTGATATTCTCAGTGAGCTATGTAGATTCTGTGGCCACCACCACATTCTGTGGCTTTGTTTCACACCATGCTGCTTCAGCTTTTCCTCACAGGGAAGGTGCTCCAATCATTGTTCACGTTGGATGCCTTTTTCCCCCACCTTTCTCAGCTCTGTGACAATCTTTTGAAATGTGGGACCAGCACTGTACATAGTACAGACCTCACTGCTCCCCTGATAACTACCAGCAGCCAGGCATCCCAGTCTCTAAGACATAACTCTGGAAATGTCCAGGTTCTGGCTGCCCATTCCCTCCATCCTCATCTGAGTGTATAACAGGCTGAGAAAAAACATGGGAGCCTTCTCTTGTTTGTTGCTTCTGAATAAAACAGCTTGTGATAAAAGGTATGCTCCTAAGCCCCCTCAGCAGCGGGCTTAGAAAGGCCATGGAATGTAAAACTACCCTGAAAGAATGTAACATTTCTTGACCCTGTAATACCTGGGTAATGAGATCCTAGGGAAAATTCTGTGCCCTTCCTGATGTGGAAATACCTGCAGAATTTTAAATTCATTGCAATGTCAGTTCCAAAACTATATGTCTTCCCTCCCTCACACACACACACACACACACACACACACACACACACACACACACAGAGAGAGAGAGAGAGAGAGAGCCTTGTTAGCTGCCATGTCCAGTCTGTCAATTCAGTGTGGCTAGTGATGAGGGTATTGAACTGGGACTCGGGGATCCAGGTTCTAGTCCCCACTCAGCCATGGAGCTCGCTGGGTGATTTTGGGCCCGTCACGAACTCTCAGCCCAACCTCCCTTGCAGGGTTGTTGTTGGAGAGGAGAAGAGCCACCTTGGGTTCCTTGAAAGGGGAAAAAGGGCAGAGTATACATGTGATAATAGCTATCCTGTTATACCATTGCACTAGTGGGACCCACCTCTCATGCATTGGAGCTTCTGTGGTTCTAAAACTAACTGGAAACAAGCTGAAACGTTCATTTCCAGAATGAGGCAGGTTAGCACAGCTTGCAGAAGGAAGCTCTGCTGACAGGTCCCAGTCTGGAAAGAGTGTTTCTGCTCATTTCCGGAGTTATTTTTAGAAGTGCAACGGCCCAGTTGTGTAACTGCTGGGACCTGCAAGTACAGCAAAGGTGGAGCTGTCCAGGGAGTTTCTTAATTGTTTTGGCAGGATTTTTGACAATTCTGCACAATTGAGTTTGCTGTTTGAATATATTTTATGAGACCTGCAGAAAGCCAAGAGAGGTATTATCACCCATAACTGCAGAATTCGGGGCGGGTAGCTGGACAGTTATGGTGGGCAGACAGCCAGCTAGCTGTCAGAAGAATCTTGGACAAGATGGCTATTTTGTCTGTTCTGTATTGGTGGTTTTTAACTTTGCT